GACATATTTTTTAAATAATATTTATGTCCGTTTTAAGAAGTGTTTATTCAACACATGAGTACACGTGCATCGCGCGTACTCTAAGACTAGTAGATAGATATAGATATAGATAGATTATATCGAGATATTCATTTATTCTTTCGGTCCGAAGATTTTCATTCTTATTACACCCTCTTTTGAATTAAAGTTCAATTTATTTTTATTTACATGCCAAAAGTCGAAAATCAAGTAGTAAAATCCTGTCAATTAGAACTATATTTGGCATAAAATATTGCATATTAGAGTAAGTCATATACAATAGTCCTGGTGATTGCCAATTTATTGTAAACTGATTTGTCTTCAGAAATCAAAATATAGTAAAATTATCAAATGCAAGAAATCAACAATTATATTTGGTATAATATCATGCGTAATTGGAGCAAGTCATATCATAATCCCAATAACATTGACAATTTGTTAAAAAAATGATTTGTCTTCAGTACCAAAATGGCATAATAATCAAATCAAGAATCACGGAATTGCATGATATAAAACCCCTTTCTAACTCCACTTTTCGTAAGAGAAATAAAAAGACAAGAAAATGGGAAAAATCACTTTCTTCTTCCTATTTTTTACCCTCTTTTTGTCACATTTTGTGGCTTCAAGCCTTGGAAAAAGGCAAAGTGATGTTCTTGGCAAATTTTACAAGGCTAAGCAAAAGAAACATTCATCCATTGACAAGAGCCAGTTTAAGGCAGTCCTTAACCATGTAAATTTAGACAAAGTTATTCTATCTCAAGAGGTACAGAAAGAAAAAGATTGGATTAAGAAATTGCCCGGACAACCACCAGTTAAATTCCAACAATATGGTGGATATGTTACTGTCAATGAATCTGCTGGTCGTGCTTTGTATTATTACTTTACTGAAGCTGAGAATTCTAAGTCATTGCCTTTGCTTCTTTGGCTTAATGGAGGTATATATATTATTTTTTTTTGTATTATACTATATACTTTTGACATAAACCTTTTCATTTACATGTATAATTTTATTAAATTGACCACTTGTACTTCCACCAGCCCCAAA